TTTCCATGTTTGAAAAATAAAATGTTGCTGATATAATTCTTGTTTCACAAGGGCGGGGGGGGGGGGGGGGGTCGTCTGATATGTTTACCGCTGACTGCAATTATAATGATAATACCAGTTGGACTTGTTGACACACAGGAAATCGATTACGAGTAACACGAGGAAGCATAAATGCTTGGGAACGGGTTGGTAGAAGTCAGCAACCTGTCGTCTTCTGCGGTAAACTTTACACTGTGGGCAAAACAGGGCTATTATATCGTCTATAAAAACGGAAATTAGAATACCATTAGCAATCATGAAATGATACTTGAAACCGATACAAACTTTTTATATTTCCGATATTAACTTTGCTACTTAAAATGTATTCTACATTTTTTTAACATAATTGGTACCACGAGCAAAATCATGCACAAAACAGAATATACTCCAAAGTGTAAGTTGGAATAGATAATGGCAAAGTAGAGGTCGACATAAGCAACACAGTCCGCAGAAAGACGGCGCCGGAAAGGTCGACTTCGCGATACAGGTGGGGGAAGAACACGAAGAAGGAAACCTCTGCACGGTCGAAGTTGTGCTATTATTATTGACATCGTATGGTTACAAGGTATACCTCTTAGTTCTCATTCTAGCACACCAGAAGACTTTCGTGAAAAAAATGAACGGGAAAAGAAAAACATTTGTAGTCTTTCCTGCCCATAAAATCGTTCATTAGCTAATATAATTAGAACCTCATTGTCATAGAATTCACGTCCTTAATAAACTAATAAACGCGAGGAATTTATTTTAATATGATTTACCAACAAAAAACTAACCAATTTCACTCGAACGCCCTGTGTCGTTTATAAACACTCGAAGGTACAAAAAGACAGTTCTTCGTAAAAGTTTCAACTTTCTCGACCCAGTCCGTAAACCCGCAGGCTACGTAAACCCTGATAACAGACCATGATTTAACGATCCATGACTCTCTGCGTTGGAATGCTTCTGGTCTATCAGCGACGATCAAGTTCGCGCAAACATGGCGAATTTTGCACTTACCATGAAGTTTACTATCCGAACAGTTGCGCAATAAACATGCCAAAGCAGTAATCAAGAACTGTGACCATTTTTTATCGGTCGGTGTTTCGAAAGCGACCCATCGAATAGCCGCGAACTGGGCAAAATTGTTCGCGGTCTCACGGAAATTTAGGCGTCAGCCGGGAGTGACATCGAACGAACGGTCGAACCGGGTAAGAAATGGGAAAGAAGGAAACTCTATGCGAGCGAGAACTCTGCGCTATTATTATTGACATCGAATGGTTACGAGAGACCGTCGTATGGTCCCTCTCCCGTCCCGCTCTCGCGTTCCTCTCGACCTAATTCGCGGACGCTGACGATCGGAGGAGCGCGCGTTCTCGTCTGCTTGAGGTGTCCCTGAGCGCCAAGGACGTTCTCGAGCGCGTTGGTGAACCGCGCGGCGTAGAGGTTACGCGCCGAAGTTTTCTTGGAACGAAGTCAGTCTCGGACCTCGTCCCTTAGTAGGAATCATCGTTGCCTTTAAAAAAAGTCCGTTCCGTGTTCTTTTTTTTTTTTTTTTTTTTTTTAAGGAATCCTCGTTTTCGGGCAAACGATGCAAAAATTGAGGGAACGAAGGTCACAACCGGAAACCAATATTGGATAATTTTCTTTTTGAACCGAGAAACACCGGTACGGTAATTTCAACCGGTTAATATTCTAGAAGATAAAAGACAAGGCCGTGTGCATTTGCCAGAAACCAACCGAGCGCTTCGTCCCTGACTACGAAGGCCTTTTTCGAGCGGCGGTTGCACCGGTCAGAGGTTGAATTAGGTTAATAAAACGATTGCCTTGCGGGTGCCATTTTGTTGGATTTCAATCGCGAGTTTCCGGGAGAAGAAAAAAAAAAGAGTTCGCAGTCACCTTCTATCGACCTCGGCGAATCATGATAGATCGATAAACGGCTAGAAAAAAGTAGCCTATCGTCCATGGTATATACTCTTAATCGCGATGATTCTTAAAATACATACATGGCGAAACATTCCGCGTGCGAGTACGACAGATGCGAATAAACGCTCGAATATCGCACGTGCGGAAAGAAAAAGTCTGGCTCCGTTAAGTTTTGTCTTCGTTCTGTATAATCGATCGATTCCTGAAATTCCATCGTCGTGAGCAGAACAGAAAAAATCGGACTCTCTCGCTTTATACATGCACAGAACCGGGGCGCAGAAAACGTGCACGCAGGCGCGAGATACACACGAGTGTGTGTGTGTGTGTGTGCAACCGTTACCAGGCAAAATAAATCGTCATCACTTTCGAACGATAATAAGGTGAACGTACTTGCGTGTCTTCGGAGAACCCAGCGCAGATAACGATCGATGGGTTTATTAATAAATCCCTCGGATTCCGGGAAACTTACAAAATGTAGCCTCTCAATCTCCATCACGTAGGGGTCACACACACACACTGAGGATATTTAAGACAATGTAGGGGCCCCTCCTCCCTCGCGAAAAAAAAATGGTTTGCCCGCGTTGGAATTCACCGAAAACCAGTCACGTGTTTCCATTGGAGGTACCACACGATGCAAATGGTGTTCTCCAACCGGGCCTTGGACGTCCAAGGACGTGCAGACGAACCGACGAGGATAGGCTATGAAACTTGTCCCGGTTCTCTGCGCTTTTTCCACATAAGATCACCGCGACGGTGGCGGCGGCATCGTCGTTCTACGAGAAACGACGGTATATCACGATGTGGAATGACGAAAGGAGGACGGTCGATTCTCGGCCCGAGGTCGCCCGTAGGTCAAATCGCTGTCGCGGAGACGACCCTGGTCGGCTGTTTGTGCACCAAAGATGGTCGGGTCGTCCGCGCGCGATCGTTCTCTCTCTCGAAGCGAGAGTTCCTTCCAGTCGACCGATTTTCGACACGCAACGCGCAATTTCACCGGGTCAACCGTGGAATAATGACTTTCCTCTTCGTTTGAACCGACTGTCCACGAGCGACGAGGCTAAGATTTCTCTTTCGATTAACATATATGGCACGTCGTGGGGTGTACTTAGAGGAGAGAATATATATATATAATATTGGTCATTATAAGAAGCAAATAGTAATATACCTGATTTGTGAATTTGCTACGTAAATTGGTGGAAAATTCATTTATGATACGGTGTACGATCGAAATATAAAGCGGTGTACGCGAACGTAAGTATGGCACATATCGTTATTTCGAGTTCTGATCAGGGCGATAACGATTCTTACCATCGATAACGAACAATCGCTCTATTGTCGTCTAGGTGGAACGCGGTAGCATTTGTCGATTATAAAAGAAATCATTGTAACAGCGTATCTATAACTTGTGGAAAGACGAAAATTGTTTTTCGAAAGAGTGAATTTTTTTTCCAAATCTTATTATTTTCTACTGAATTTACTTAATATTCGGACAGTTGGATATTCTTGTGATCATTCCAGTGCAATTAAAAAGCCGTATTTTCTTGTTATGCAGTTGGTTTTCTAAGACGTCGAAAACAAGAGTTGGAGAACGAACATACTTGGAGAACGGGCTTCTCGAAGGAGATATCCATTATCTGCGTGTAAAAACAGAATTACCTTTATCAATGGTCCGATTACATTGTCGAAAGAGACTGAAGTCCTGAAAACACCATAGCAAGCTGGGACGGACAAGATGTGTTCGTGTGGCGTTCGAACGAAAGTAAACGTTGAAAAAATCATTATCTGTACGTGCGTCCGGGGCGAGATAAAGGCGCAGGGTTTCATTGGTCGAACCGGCCCGGTAGACTATTCTCAGAAAGACGTTCCTCCGCGTCGACGTTTGCGTTCTCCAACACGCGGGCGTCTCTCTCACTTACCCACGCAAATTTTATTTCGCGAGTCGGTTAAATGACACGTACTTTGTGCTTGTAACTCTTTCGGTTGAATACAATAAGAATTCATGAATAAATGAAACGGATTTGTCTTTAAATCCCAGAAGAAAAAGAAAAGTGAGTACAGAATTCTGACTCAAGGTGAAATACATATAATAATTTCACTTCGAGTGGTATAATCGCAACTGAAGTTCTGACGATGTATAATAACCGTCAAACTTCAACCTCGTTGAAATATCAAGTTTCGATCATGTTACCGCGGAAAAATTAACGAGACTCTATTAACTGTAATCATGTGATTAGTTGTTTCGTGCATGTAAAAAATTATGCAAGTCCGTAATCACTCGGTATATCCGAGTTGTGTCGTATCATTCAGAGTTGAACTAGAATTGACGCTTATTTACTTATTATCTCATAAAATCGTCAGCAACGCGTTAACACGAACGCATTATTTCGAGTTAATTGTATGCGAAGGTCGCGTATTCGTTACGAGGCCGAAGTAACGCGTGACCTTGAGACACAACCGTGGCGACCTTGGAACTAAAAGACCCATAGAAGAAACCCGCGAAAATACAGAGCGCCATCGAGTTTCTCTCCGTGATACTAGTTTCCCGTTGCGCACCAACTTCGAGAGAAACTAGCGAGACTTTCGAATGATCCGCGATTGTAGATCAATGCGCCGTTCCTGCCAGAGGTCGCGCGAAAGGTCTTCATGGTTGCCGCGTCGACTGAACATTGCAATCGCAATCGTCGACGTTTACACAAGCGGATCAATTCTTCTTCCAATTGAAATATCCTAAATATATATAGCTTCTGAACGGTAAGCAAAAAAATAGGGTAAGCAACATTGTATTGCAAATTTACAAATCTTATCCCATCTGTACAAAGAGATGTTCAATATTATAAAGAAAAGTATCCCATTCGTTTCCCTTGTTCGGCTTACAATTCAACAATCCATCGTACGATAACAGATATACCAATTAAATCTGAAGAAAAGATACCGACAGCTAATACAAGTGAAACGTATCGAAGAACGCGTTATCATTTCCGGTACCAAGAGCCCAATCTTCGAATTCCGTCTGGAAACTCGTGATCACCCTCGGAGGGTACCGTGTAAAAACGACTCACCGTGGCGCGGGTTTTAGACCGAGGGCAAGCAGCACGTCGATGCCCGCCATCTTTTGCTCCTGGTTCACTTGATTGCCGCCGCTCTTGGCACGTTGTTGGTGTTGGTGGTGCTGGTGCTGCTGCCGCCTTTCCGTGGCCGGCTGATGCTGCTGCTGCTTACTGTCAGCCAGACCGTTGTTGCCGGTCACTTTCTGGCCGGTTAGCATTTTAGCATGGGTGACCTTGAGGAGGGAGCGCTTCGCGTCCTCGACCAGCATCTTGGTGACCGGCTGCACGTTCACCGGCACGCCGATCGTCGGCACGGCGCCACGACGCAGCCTACTGCGCACAGGAAGACCGAGCACAAGGTGCTCCATATCCTTCTCGTATGAATCGTTCGTAAAGTGGAGGGAGCATATACGTGCAGTTTGTATGTTGAACGGTATCTCGCCGTTCGAGAGGGGCACGCGACCGCACGCGCGCACCCATCGCGAGCGAACTTCCGGTATCTGAGGGAATCGATGGTAGCGGATACGACGGCCGCGGGTCCGACGATGACTGTTGCGGCACGTAGCCACGGCGCACTGCGGCATCCTAACCTCTTAAATCCGTTCTATCTCTCTCTATTTCTCCTTGGTATCGACACACACACGCACACACACTCGCGCGCGCACGCACGCACGCACGGACACGTTGTTCACGCACACCGAGGTTGATACACGATGATAACGTCTCTCTGCGACATCCTCGACGATACTGCCCAGAGTGGTTCTACCGTCGTCGATCCATCCTCACGATGCCTCCATGCGCGCACCGATCTTCATCGTCGACGCGATGCGAGCTTGTTCCCCCCGTCGATGCGTAAGCGTAGTATCTTTGTCCCACAAATAATCTTCGATTAAACCCGATGCGACTCGGACGGTGTGGATATACAACACTTTACGGTAAATGACGCTCAAAGGTTGTTTTCCTGATGCTCTGTGTGTCCGAAGGTCGTGGGTTACACTGTACGAGGCGAGCCGCCTTCGTTTACACTTTGGTAGCGCGACGAACACACGCGTGACTAGATACGTTTTGCCGGGCGGCTTGGTTTCAGGCCCGGCGATTCAGGTTGTGTATGTGACACTTCGTTGCTCAAAACACAGCGCACGTGGGTGTACACACACGGATACGTAGTTACACAGTCGCGCGTGGCGAAAACTTGCAGACCGTGAATTCACACGCCGGTGGTGTTTCGATCGTTCTTATTCGGAATCCTCCGCGTTTTTTTTCTTTCTTTCGAAGCACGACACGTGCGTGGTGGAACACGGGTAGAGGGAGATCCTCAAAGGACGAGTGTCGCGAGTAGAACAGACGAGTCTCGCGGCACTGTTATAGCGTGATGTCGCGGTACGTGAGAATCGACGACAACGAGACAGTCGCACGACGGAAGCACTCTTGCGGACTCTCGATGACCGCGGGAGGTCGAAAGGGCATCGGTACCGCCCTGCGTGCGACGCCCTGCAAACTGTGGGTAGCGGCGTAGAAGGGGACCGGAGGCCAGGGAGCAAAAGAGACGGCGTGACAAGAGACGGTTGGGGAAGGGGGAAGGAGGGGGGAAGGGAAGCACAGACGGCGGAGTAGTGAAAAACGATGTGTGCGTGGGCCTCCCGGCAGACGCCACCACTTTCTCGACTCAAATTCAAAACGTCACACGCACACCCGCGGTCGCCCGTCTCGTATAAATCGACCGTCCACCGCACACGAGGGGGCGGGTGGGGGAAGAACGGTGGGGTGGTTGTAATTTAGAGAAAGAGCAACAGTCCAGACGACGGTTGGAAACGCGTGTGTGTCGCACACGTCTTTTTCCGCAACACGTGTGAGGGACAGGTCCGCGTCGTCGGCGAAAGGTGTCGCCTCGTGCACCTTTCTCCGTTCCCTGACGATCAGCGCTACCGCGCGCGGCGGCGATCGTGACGTTGATTGGTAGGCGGACCGTCAAGATGGCGACGGATGACGGTAGCCCAACCGACGATCGTCAACGAGGGTATACGAAAATTGCCGAACGGTATGTACGGCCACGGGAACTCGTGGGTAGCCACGAGAAAGAGGGAGAGAGCACCAAGGGGCTAGAGCCGTGTCTCACACGCAGTAACCAACGGAAGAACGGAAACGGCGCCGCGGTTGGATATCCTCCCGGAAGGTAGTTCTCGAACGGATCGGAAAAATAAGTAATGCGAGAGGAAGAAGCACCCGGTGTGTGTCTGGTACGCGCGGCGATTAGGTAAATTGAAGAAACCGGTGTGTGTGTGTGTATATATATATCACGCGTGATAGACAACGTGCTAACTACTGCACGCGCGCTGCTTCTCCTCCGGACTGGCCGATCGGGTCCGGCCGTGGAACAAGAGACAGCCAGTGGCAGCTGCGTGTGCCTCCTCGTGTCTGCGTGAAACCGGTGAACCAATGATCGTGCTCCGGTGCCGTCGCGGCAGGGATGACGGGGCGTCATGGAGGGGGCAGGGTTGGAAAGGAAGAGAGCACCAGGGAGACAGGGAAAAAGAGGGAGGAGGTCACCGCTACCGACTAGGGTCCTTCAGGGGTTCGCCACCCCTCGAGCCCACGCGGGTCCTCCTCGCTTTCTGTTATCCGGTATAACCAACCGCTACCGATCACCTCTCTTCCCCTCTCCCCTGTCCGCCCTTCGAGCGTGCAACCCCAGGTTTCTCTCCTTCAGCCACGTTGCGCTTCCTCGACCTGGTCCTCGGGCAGAGCGTTAGGTTACACGCTCTTTTTCTCTTCATCCCCATAAGCAGGCCGCTTTGTCTGGCGGAACACGGCTGAGCCCGCTGACGACCATTGTACGCCGCGCTGGGCGAACACGCGTTAGGAGAATTGTCGCAGTTTTCGTCTTTGTGTACTTCGTCGGCCCCGGGAGGAACCGTGGCCGAGGAAGAAATATTTGTCCTTCACGGGTATCGCAGTGGAGCGAGGAACTTTGAATTATATTCGATCTCACCGCAACCCCACCGGAAAATTGCGTAACGTTTCGTTATGTTACGGAAACGGTCTTGACGAATCATTACGTCTTACAGGAGAGCATTTCTAAATATAGGCAAACCGGGGACCTTCGATAAAGAGCATTGAAAATGAGGTCCTCGATCGACCTCCCCATATGTGTATTAATTTCGCAAGACGTATCGACACGTGTCCATGGTTTTAATTAATATTTTGTAGTTGTATGGATGAGGCGAGTGTAACTTAACCTTGAATAAATTAAGTACTTGAACCCATAGTTGTTGCCCTCTTAACTTTTAAGGGACAAAGTAATTTTTCTCGGAATATTTAGTAAATAATAAATGCAATATAGGAAATGTGAATTTTTTCATGTAAACTGGTACAACTTTCAGCGTGAATTGAAAGAAATTGACGGTTGAAAGTCAATAGAACGGAAAATTCAGTGTAATTCTATGTACTTGAAACGGGGTGTAAGAAACGCCCTGGCGAACATGGCGGAAGTTGCCGTTTCGTGGCCAAATGCCGTCAGCGGAGAACAAAGTCTTGCATGCGTTGCGGACTTATTGCGCCGTATCGAAACGCAACTGGACGCATTCGTGGAACATATAAAAATACCGATTATTATTTCGATGATATTTAGACCTTCACCTACCCTTAGCTATACTATAATATTAACGTATATAATTTATTTCTGTCATTTCTTCGATACTTTTCACGTGACATATAATAATTCCCTCTGATTCTTTGTTTATATTAAACAATACTGATATCGCCGTTGAATTGGGTTGTATTGTACATGACAGCTATTGGCATTTAGTCGGAATTCTATTGCGTCTCGACGGAGACACTACTATTTCTCCCCTATTGCCGCTAATCAGGTTCTCATGGCATCTTATGTGGCACAAAGGAAGGAGAACTTGACCCCGTTCGATCGTAACCGAACCGAAACTGTATTGTCGTACACGATCAATAAGTCAAGCTAATCGTCCGAATACAAGAAAACGGTGTGCATCGAGCGACGATCATGCCGGATCGGTGTGCTTATATTTAATAAAAGTACTCTCGCAAGACAACGTTGCGCCAATGTTTCACGAAATTTTGAAATGATTTCCAGGGTGTATTTGTTCAAGTGGGGCGTCTACGATCTGGCGAGGGCAATCTTTCGCATGAGGAAAAAAGCGATGAAGGGGTAGGAGATCTGGCATTGAACAAGGAGTCACCAGGGATGTTGGCAAACAACTAATACTTTATCCGACACTCCGTTCCTCTAGAAATTACCCATGTTGTTGCCTCCATTAACAGTATATTTTAATATCATTCAATGATGGACGTTTCTGTGGTATCGAATAAATAAAGCGACCAGACCTCAACCACTGAATAACGAAACCGCTGTGACAATATGTATTATGAAACAGATGCTATGAAGAAATATCAAATTTTTCGGCACGAATATTCAATGAGAAACTATAGAAATAACTGAAACCACAAGCAGTTGAGCTTCTGCATGTTTTAAATTTACAACTGATACAAAAAGCAACTATTTAACTAAAGCGGAGAACACTAATAAGTTATATGTTAAAAATGTGCAAGTTGTTATACTTTGTATACTGTTTCGTATCGACTTCTCACGAAATATAACGTAAGCTTTGCATTTCTTATTACAATTTAACAGAAAAAGGGCATCGAAAACTTAAAAATTACCCGTATATAAAATACTTTATTGGGCACGGAGGAGTACAGATAATCTTTCGAAGTGCATACGAGCTCGATCGTACAGAATATAGGTATCCAAGATATATTGTATAATATCGCTGATAAGAAACTGGTCCGAGGAGGATCTTCGAGAGCGAGCATAATAAACTAACAGTCTATCCGTCTATCCGAACGATAGACTCGGTTCGCCACGTCGGCCATTTTAGTTTGATAATGAAGACACGCATACCAGATAATGTCCGTTCCTTCAAGTATTAGTGGGATTAATGGTTTGGAATTGCTCTATTAGCACTTCGCTTTATGCATGGTAGACAGATCTACTCTGTTAGATAAAGTACAAGCAAATGTTCGTCGTCCGATATCACGTGTTTCGACTGATTCATGTTTCCTTCAACGTTTAATAATGCTTCTCGCGGCCTTCGACTCCACAAATCCCCTTAGATCAAATAATTACTGTATCGGTTGATACCTTATTAACATCCGTAAAAAATGAAACAATCGACTAGACGAATAAAGTAATAGAAATGACGATAAAAAAAAATAGTATGGTACCAGTGTTGCAAGAAGAAATGAAATTATCCGTAATGTATAACTTCCAAATTTTTCCAAAGATAAAAAGTAACAGGCGAATGTCCGCAAGAAAATAAAAAATCACAGACTGTCACCTGTCGTCATTTCTATCGCGGTCATAAGAATAATCCCCTATTTCATCACGATGCGCAACAACAAAAGGTATTTAATAAAGCGGCAAGGTGTAGTAGATGCGCTCCAGTTCTAAAGCGAGAACGCTCTGTAACGCAACAGCTTCCCATCGGTCCACGTCGAGGATCCTTTCCCCTTTGCGATATCGTATAACCATCGCACGACGGGCGTCCAAGTATCTCCCTCGCGTTCCCCGACGCTGCCCCCCCCCCGCCCCGAGGGCCCTGACGAAACGATTTTCTCGAGGAACGCAATTCCGCGGAAACCGTGGAGAACCGTCACGTTCTGGTACCAGAAGCGTCTACGACGCGACAGAATCGTCTCTTCGCAGAGGCACGATATACATATGCTCGAAGAGAGAAAAGAGTTTTTGCCTCGATGCGCGTCGTGGCCGGTTGCCGTCCCTCTGTCGACCGCGTGCAGCTAAAGCGAAGCCATCGAAAAGAGGAGAAGAAGCGAGGCAGGGCAGGCACGAAAGGCCGGCCAGGCTTCGTTCGGTGTGGTTCACGCGGGCTCTCAAATAAGGACAGACCGATTTCCGGTGGTCTCACTCCTGTCCCCCACCCCTCACTCCCCTCCGAACCTCAGCAGCAACCTGACCCCACTATGAACCGATCGGGGTTATCCGTCTCTCTCTCCCTTTCCATCTTCTTTCTAGGTCCAACGTCACGGAGAGAGAACGAGGGAGAACGAGAGAGACAGCGAGTGTGTGAGAGATAGAGAAAGAGAAGGAAACGTGTCTCCATCTTCCCCTCGACCATACAGAACCGTTCGTCTCTCTCCGTCTTGGTTACTAGAGCACGTTACGCTCCGAGGCTAT